TGCTCTTGTTAGGCCCAGAAGTGGTCGTGGAGCAACAAGTGGTCAACCTGAACCTGTGACGGCTACTATGGTCGATATGCAAAGGGAATTGGCGGCTATTCGGCATGCCAATGAAATTTTGATGAAAACTAATGAGGATGCGCGGACTACCAAGGGCGCAATGATGACTGAGTTGAGGACGTTGAGGGGTCCTAGGCCCGTGAACCGGCAACCCACTCCTCCTCCTCACACTGCTACGCCTTCTCCACCTCCTTCACAAGAAGAGGGTGTAGCGGGTAATAATGAAGGTGAGGGTAGTCACCATTCTGGATGTCGTAGTCATCACACCGAGGTTCGTCAACCTCGAGTTGAGAATGTCGGTGACCATGAAGTGGAGGAAAGAAGATTGATGGCTTTCCGAAAACACAAACCTCCTTCTTTTAAGGGAGGTTATGAGCCAATGGCGGCTGCGAAATGGCTCCAAGCAATGGAGAAAATCTTCAGGGTGATGAGAAGCCCTGACGCAATGAAGTTAATCTACTCCGTGTACATGCTGGAAGAAGAAGCGGAGGGCTGGTGGACTAATACCGTACAGCCCCTAGAAGCTGAAGGCCGGGAAATTACCTGGCGGTTGTTCGAGACATTGTTCTTGGATAACTATTTCCCTAGAGAGGCTAGGGAACAGAAGCAGAACGAGTACAATGACCTAAAGAAAGGGTCAATGTCAATTGACCAATACTTTGCAAAATTCAATGAGTTGGTGAAATACGCCAACTATGGGCGAGCCTTACCCACTCCGGCTGAAATGACCTCCAAGTTCCAATGGGGTCTCAATGAGAAGATGTCAAATTGTGACATCCGAGAGTTCAGTCGGTTTGTAAATCAGTGCAGGAAGGTAGAAGAAGTGTACAAGGTGTCCCAAACCAAGAAGTCCACTGAGGCCCAGGCACCTAACGCCAATAAAGCAACGAGCTCAGGTTATTGGAAGAACAGAAAGATGCAAGGCAAGAAGCTGAATGCGAATAGGCCCTTTGACTTGTTCAAAAAGCCCGGGACTCAGAAAAAGTTTGTTGATAGAGGACCTCCTCCCAAGTGCAAGGGATGTGGCAAGGAGCATAGAGGTCCATGTGCTATCGGTGAAGTGATCTGTTTTAAATGTGGAAGATCCGGTCACTATTCCAGGCAGTGTCCTCAGAACGAAGCGAGGACTATGGCAGTTCAAACTACTGTTGTTCCTGTTTCTGTTGTTCCACCTATGCTAGAGTCTCAGACGGTTGGTAGAGTATATACCATGGACCGTCAACAATCGGAGAAGGCTCCGAATCTAGTGAAAGGTACAATTTATATTGATAATATGGATGTTGAAGTGTTGTTTGATTCAGGAGCTACACACTCCTGTATGTCTGACTTTATGGCCGTTGGGCTAAATCTGCAAATGTACGACATTCGCCCTCCAATGAAAGTGGTTACTGCTACTGGAGAGGAGTGTTATACATCCGTGCTATGTAAAGATGTTGAGTTCAAATATGAAGGCCGAGATTACGTGCTGGATTTTATTTGTTTACCTATGATCAGCCTTCAAGTTATCTTGGGTATGGACTGGTTGTCAAAGAACTGTGCTATGATAGACTGCTGTGGTAAAAGGATTGTGCTTGATGCTGATGACTCTGCTACTAGTTCTTCCACATATCTATCTGTGTTGCAGGTTAGAAAGGCTTTGAGGGCCGGGGCATTGGGATATGTCTTTGTGGGGGGTTTGGTAGGCGGAAGTCATGAGGAGATTGGCACTATTTCCGTGGTGAAGGAGTTTGTGGATGTGTTTCCAGATGAAATTCCACAACTTCCGCCTCATAGAGAGATTGAGTTCACGATTGATCTATTGCCTGGTGTGGGGCCTATCTCTCTGGCTCCGTATAGGATGTCACCACCGGAATTAGCCGAGTTAAAGAAGCATATTGAAGAGCTTTCGGCTAAGCAATTTATCCGGCCAAGTGTGTCCCCGTGGGGAGCACCAGTCGTATTTGTTAAGAAGAAGGACGGTAGCATGAGATTATGCACTGATTACCGTCAGTTGAATAAGGTTACCATTAAGAACAAGTATCCTCTCCCTCGCATAGATGATTTGCTTGATCAGTTGAAGGGTGCTTGTGTTTTTTCGAAGATTGATTTGAGGTCGGGTTATCATCAAATCCGAATTAGGCAGGAAGATATTCTGAAGACTGCCTTCCGATCTAGATATGGACATTATGAGTATCAAGTAATTCCATTTGGACTCACTAATGCTCCGGCGGTGTTTATGGATTACATGAATCGCATATTTAAGCCGTTTCTGGATCAATTCGTGATTGTGTTTATTGATGATATCCTGATATATTCCAAGAGTAAGGAAGAGCATGAAGGTCACTTGAGAACTGTGTTGCAAATTCTCAGAGAGAAACAGTTATATGCAAAGCCTTCTAAATGTGAATTTTGGCTTTCTCAAGTGCAATTTCTGGGTCACGTTATCTCTGCTGATGGAGTGACGGTTGATCCTAGCAAGATAGAGGCAGTTGTTGATTGGGAGAGACCCAAGACGGTAACGAAAATAAGGAGTTTTCTGGGTTTGGCTGGTTATTACCGGAGATTCATTAAAGAATTTTCGGCCATGGTGTTGCCATTGACCCGTTTGACCCGGAAGGATACTCCTTTTGTTTGGACGCAGGAATGTGAAGAATGCTTTCAGAGCCTTAAGGAGAAATTGACGACTGCTCCGGTGTTAGTACTTCCCGATCCGGAAGGTGAGTTTGAGTTATACAGCGATGCTTATAAAAAGGGATTGGGTTGTGTGCTGATGCAAGATAGGCGAGTGGTAGCTTATGCATCGAGGCAATTGAAACCGCATGAAGAAAACTATCTGACCCATGACCTTGAGCTTGCTGCAATTGTGTTTGGATTGAAACAGTGGAGGCATTTCTTGTATGGAATGAAATTTGCAGTATTCAGCAATCACAAGAGTTTGAAATAATTGTTTGATCAAAAGGAGCTGAATATGAGACAACGACGGTGGACCGAGTTCCTAAAAGACTATGATTTTGAATTGAAATATCATCCTGGCAAGGCTAATGTTGTAACTGATGCACTGAGCCGTAAATCTGTGAGCATATCAAGCATGATGATTAGAGATTATGATGTGATAGAGAGGTTCCGAGATATGCAATTATCCAAAATCTTTCCGTGTAGAATTTGTGGCATCGAAATTACAAGCATTGAAAATGAACTGATGACCAGAATCAAAGAAGCTCAACTGCAAAATGAAAGTGCTAAACGACTGAAAGGTCAGAGTGGTGTATCCTGCAATGATGAGGGTGTACTACTATATCAGGGTCGTGTTGTAGTACCTAGGCAGTTGGCGGAGGAAGTAATGACAGGCCCATAAGGGTCATTTCACGGTTCATCCGGGAGCTACAAAGATGTATCAGGACCTAAAGATTAATTTCTGGTGGCCTGGTATGAAGAAAGATATTGCCGAATTTTTCTCTAAGTGTCTCATTTGTCAGAAGGTCAAGATTGAGCATCATTTGCCAGTTCGGGTAGATTTCTCTGCTGAGAGATTGGCTAGGCTCTATGTGAAGGAGATTGTGAGGCTTCATGAGGTGCCTGAGAGCATTGTTAGTGATCGGGACCCGAAGCTCACTTCTCGCTTCTGGGGAGCATTGCAGGAGGCTCTTGGCACTCAGTTGAGACTGAGCACTACTTATCACCCACAGACGGATGGTCAGACTGAGAGGACCATTCAGACGTTGGAGGATATGCTGAGGGCTTGCACCCTGGAGCAGGGTACTGCATGGGATCGATATCTCCCGCTGGTTGAGTTTTCATATAATAATAGTTTTCATGCTAGTCTGGGTATGACTCCCTACGAGGCCTTGTATGGTCGCAGGTGTAAGACACCTACTTGTTGGTCAGAGGTTGGAGACGTAGAGCGGTTTGGATTGGATTTTGTTCAGGAGACTACTGAGCAGATCAAAATGATTAGGGATCGTCTGAAAAGGCTCAGGATCATCAGAAAAGTTACTATAATCTCAAGCATCGACCTCTAGAGTTTGAGGAGGGAGGAAGCTGAGTCCGAGATTTATTGGACCCTACCAGATTCTCCGTAGAGTGGGACCGGTTGCCTACCAGCTTGCCTTACCTCCGTAATTGGCAAATTTGCATGATGTGTTTCATGTTTCTCAGCTGAGGAGATATGTAGCTGATCCTTCTCATGTGGTTCAACCTGATAATGTTGAAATCCGGGAGAATTTGAAGACTCCTATTGGGCCACTGAAGATACTCGAAAGAGATGAGAAGAAGCTGAGAAATAAATCTATTCCTATGGTGAAAGTCCAGTGGAAAGGAAGGACGCCTGAAGAGTCCACTTGGGAGCGGGAAGATGAACTTCTCCGGCAATATCCTGAGTTTAAGGACAGGTACGTTCTTGATTTTGCGGACAAAATCGCTAAAAGGTGGGGTGACTATAATAGCTCTAACCTAATTAATTAGCAAATTACATGTAATTAAATAATTAAGCATGTTTTACTGAGTAAAATTAAGTATAAGACTTAATTAAATGAATCTGAGTCACTTTGAAGTTAAAAAGTGTACTCAGTGAAAATTAATGGGTATAAATGGGTACTGGCGAAAGTGCCCAAAATATAAAAATAAGATTGTAAATATTCCTAGAATAATATTCCAGACTTTTGGGTAAAGTTTGGTAATTATTGGAGTTAAATAGATAGACGAACTAATACCCACATGTTACCACTTAACTTATGTTAAGTGATAAAATGCAAAAAGAACCCAAACCCCCCCAGAAAACCGTCGACAGAAACAGAGGGAAAGAAGAGAGGAAGAAGAGAGAAAGGAAGGAGAAGAGGGAGAGAGAACCTAGAAGGAGCAATCCTTAACCGATTGGAGTGATTCAAAAGCCTAAACCACTCTAAATCTCCTCCTCTTTCATAATCCTAGCTTTGTTTTGGGTGGGGAGCATTGTGGAGAGGGATATTGGCTCTCAAAAATTCGCCCATTTGGTGAAATTTGGGGTTTTGAGTGCTTCAACCTCCATTGAAGCTTGAGGAGCCATCAATCCTTGTTTGTGTGACCATTGGTGGTAAGATTCTAACCCTAAAACCTCATGATTCCTTGAAATTTGCATGAGTTAGGGTTTATGAATAGTGTTTTAGGGTTTTAGATGAAATGTTGTTAAATTAGCTATGTTCTAGGAAGAATGGAGCTTAGAGCATGTTGTGAAAAATGCTAGGAATGTCATTTAATCGGTAAAAATGATCCTAGTTAGTTAAATGACTATACTTGGTATATTGCAAGATTATCATGCTTGTTGAAGAGTTTTCTTGCAATTGTACTCAATGGTTTGGTTGATTGATGATTGTGTCCTAATGATGTATAGGATTGAGGCATTTGGACCAACCGTAAGTGATCAACCATTGGAGCAAGCTATGGAGCTTGATTAGCTCCATTGGATAGGTAAGTTCATGCTTATGTTTGGTATGAATTGTATAGCTTGGTTGATAGCTATGAGATGTTATTGGATGCAATATGTGTTAATTGCATTAAACCTTGTGTAGGTTTTGTTTGAAAAGTGGAGTATTGTAATTGACTGACTGTGGAACCTGTTGGTGGTGAACAAAGGTTGACTGAAGCATTGAGGTAAGCCTTCTGACCTTGGGTGTAATTCCCTTGATTGTTCCACCGAGCCCTGAAAGGGTAGTGGTGATTATAGTGTATATAAATGCAATGAAATAGTGTAATGCTTTGTTATACGTATGTGTATGCATTTGGTGTGACATAGGATGGTGTTTCCCTATGTGGTATGTTGCATGTCGATGCATAAATCATACTTGGTAGTTAGCTGGCCAGTAGGACTATTTGCATCTGAGTTTCCTTAGGACAGCTTGAGAGCTCGAGGGATTTTATAATGACCCTCACAGTTATTATGGATTTAATATTGAAGGATAATTATAAAGAAAAAGAAATAAAGTTACCTTTGGTGAAAGTATGAGTTAAAATGACAGTTAAGGGGTAAAAATGCAGATAAGCAAAGTTACTTGAAAAGTGAAAGTAAAGTTAGAAATATGACTGAAAAAATATTCTAGTCCATTGGGTAAAGTTTGGTAAAGAATAGAGGTGATTAGATAGATAAGCTCTTACCCAGTTAAATTTCACTTAACCTATGTAAGTGAAATTTGACTAAAAGGCTCGTATTCTTCTTCTCCACGCGACGATGCAGAGAGTAAAGAGGGAAGGGGAGAAAAAAAAAGAGAAAAGCTTGTGGGAGCTTCAATCCTTGATAACTTGAGTTAGGATTGATGAAATCAATCCATTCCAAAGCCTAAAGTGTGTCAAATTTCATCCTCTACAAAACCCATAAGATTGTTCACCATGGGAAGCTCTTGGGAAGGAGATTTCAGCCCTCTAAATCGCAGGTACTGTTCATGCGAAATTAAAGAGAGTGTATTTTAACGTTTTCAAGCTTTGAGATGGAAGCTTAGATGCCTAGGAGATCATTTAAGGCATGAAACTTGAATTTGGTTGATTAAAATTCAAGATACTATTTAGGTTTTTCTTGATGTTTTATGGTTTCATGGAGGTTTTGTAAATGATGTATGAATGTGTATGTTGTTGTAGAAGTTATTCATTGAGCCTTGTTGTTGGTAATAGTTGAAAAATCATTGAGAATGGATGTTGAAAATTGAGAAAATGGATGGCCTATCTCTAATGTATAATTCAGCCTATGTACAATAAAATAGGTAGACCAAGTGTTTAATGAAATGCCAAAGTGAAAATAATACCTTGTATGTAATCATTGATAAGTGGTGTGAAATAGGATTGGTAAAAGTGATGAAAGTTAAAGAAAAAGACATGGTTCATATATATATGTATCCTGGTCAAGAGGAAAAATAATGAGGAATATCATGCTTTAATATGTTTGAATGTGTGTTTATGTGTCTTGAGGTTGGTTAATAATTATCTACTTAATTGGAGTTGTGTAGTGAGAAATAAAGGAAAGAAAAGCATGAAAAGATAATAAATACTTATGAGTGCAAATCTGCCCTCATCGTGAAATAAGTACAAATGAGGTATTTAGTGATATTTAAATAAGAGATGATGATGGATATTCGATGTAGTGATGAAGGGAATGGTTGCTAACAAAAGATAGCTTGAGAAAAAGTCATGAACACACCTATATGTCATTTTCAACCCTTAAAGAAGTAAATGGGTTGGAATTGTATTGGACTTGGAATTATGACTTGTAAGTTATGTTGAGGACATGATAAGTATATGTAAAGTGAGAAATGTCCACTAAGAGTTAGTGGTTTTATCCTAACTAGCTTTGGGGTCCTATATGTAAGTTTGAAAAGAATTGGGTATGACTAGTGTATTGGCATAGGATTGGCAAAAACGTAAAGAAACGAAAATAAACGATAAAATGTATGCCTTATGTAAAATCTAGGCATGATAGCATTTTATTGATTTGTATTTTTGTATTCTTTCTCTAGGTGTACCTAGGGACTGAAAAAGATCGGAACCTTCTTGAAGATATATAACTAACTTGTACCACAAGTAAGCGGATTGAAAAAGCTTCAAGAAGTAAGCTCTATGTTTATGGGGTTCGCTCCTACTTTGTGTTCCGCCATAGTGTACGGACTGTGGTCAGGTTGTATGATATGTATGAGATATATGATATAGATGCATTCATATAGACCTATATGATAATATGATATGTTTTGTTTTGATGTACTTAATTTGATATGTGTTAATATGATATGTTTTGTTATGATATGACTTCTGTAATATGATTTCTGTAACAATATCTGGCCATTGATTGTATAGTACCCGGATGTTCGCTTTGGGGTCCTCCCTCGGGACTGATGGTGTACGCCTCTTATAATGACCCTAAATGGTAAATCTTAATTAGAGATTTAATTTAAGGATTTAAATGCCATAATTAGATTTAGTGTGTGATTCCGAGTATTTTGACTGTAATCATGACTATGTTATGAACAGTGCGTTCTGCCGGAGAATTTACAGTTTTGTGAATTAACCGGTAGAGCTTAAAAAGAGAAAAATAATGTTAGAGGCATAATTTGATAATTCTGACGACAAATATGAGTTCAGAACGAAAAATTGTATAGTCTGGCACTTTCCGTGAAAATCTCGTGAATAGTGTTTCTACCGGGTATTTTGTACTGCTGTTTAAGCAACCGGTAGAGTCCAGAAATAAATAATTGATGAAATAAGAATAAGAAAGTCCAATATATGCCAAGCAAGTCAATATAGGCCCAAGAAAATGATAAGTTTATAAGTGTTAAGTTTCAAAAGTAAATAAAGTACAGTTAGTGATTCACAGTGCATTTCGTCAAAAACGGTGCAGAAACCATACTGTGAATTATGAATATTGTTTTGTAACAGATAAAAATTTATGTAAATGATTTTAGAAAAATAAAAATATGTTCGTAGCTTGAAGTTAGTTCCGGGTCAATTTAAGTTAAAATACGCGATAGAAAAACATCCGATGAAAGGGGCCACATGTGCCTATATAGCCTTGTCACTTAAATGAAACACTATTCATTTCAGATTTTCTTCTTCTCTCTCATGCATGGCCGAGCTGCACTTGGAGGAGAAGGGGCTAGGGTTCCAAATTTCCTTTCTTTGATTTCTTAATCATCCATTCTCCAAATTCAAAGACCCACCACATGAAATTGATTGGAAACCACTCAATGAATCCATTCCACCAATCAATGAATCCATTCCACCAATCAATTTGAGCTATAGTTGAGTGTGTGAGGAGTTTTTCCTTCCCCCATTTTCGAGCTACTATTCATCAAGGAGGAGAAATGACATTTTTGGTGGAGCTTTGCTTGGTGAAGGCCTTCTAGGCTTTGGGTAGTTCATTGGAGGTAACAAAACTCTAACCTTATGGCTTTATTAGTGTGAATAATGTTTTGAAAGTCATGAGCATGGTTGGGTAGGAAATAAAGTAGTATAGAATGTGAAAATTATGATGGATTATTGTTATTTAGGAAGTTATAGTGTTGAGTAAATATCCACATGTGATAAAATAATTGAAAAGCCCTATTGTATTTTCCCCCTAGGTTTCGGCCTTCATGGGTTATATAGGGTTCATTATGCAAAATTTTATTGTATGTTTGAAAAGGTAAAATATGTTGGAATGTAGTATAAGTGGATGAATTGGTGGAAATGCCAAAGTTAGAAAAAAATCCTATAAATACTTGCTCTATGTTTTGAACTATAGGATGTTTAGGGGTATATAGATATATTGGTTACATTTTATTCTAATAAAATGTGTTGCATTTTAATATACCAATGGATGAGCTAAGAAGTGAAATGCTTTGACAAATGGTTGAAAAATACCTTGAGTCCCTAAGGGTATGCCCGCGACTTTTAAAGAAAAATAGTATGATTTATGTGAAAAATTCTTAAGTAAATGCTTGGTTAAATTAAAGAACGCCAACGGGTGTATAGAGGTCTAGACTTGTGTATTGACATAGAATTGGCAAAAATATAAAGAAAGGAAAATAAGCGATAAAATGTATGCTTATGAAATAATCATGGTATTGCATCATTTTATTGATGCATTGTAAATTATTCTCTAGGTGTGCCTAGGGATTGAGAAGGATCGGAAATCTCTTGAAGCGATAAAAGTAACTTGTTCCACAAGTAAGCGTATTGGTAAAGCTTCAAGAGGTAAGCTCTATGTTTAAGGAGTCTTTTCCTGCTTGAGTGCTCCACCATGGTTAGTAAACTATGGTTGGACTGTATGACTGTGATTTAGATGCTTTGTATAGATGCATTAATATAGAGTTATTTGATAACATGATATGTTTTGCTCTGATATGACTTCTGTAATATGATTTCTGTAACAATCTCTGGCCATTGATTGTATAGTACCCGGATGTCCGCTTTGGGGTCCTCCCTCGGGACTGATGGTGTACGCCTCTGATATGTCTGGTTCCGCTTTGGGGTCCTCCCTCGGGAACACGTGCGTTGATTTCCGCTTGGGGTCCTCCCTTGGGAATGACGGCGCACATCTCTGATATGATATGGATATATGCTCTGTTCTGTTATGATATCTGTTATATGTTGTATTTGTATACTCTGTATCTGACTTTCATGCAGGAGTGAGCCAGGGGTATGGAGAATTCTCTATAAACCTGGAGCTTATTGAGATTTGTAATCTCACCCCTCTTTGGGGACATATTTTCAGATGCCCAGATTCCCGGTGAGTCCTCACTAGGCAGGGACACGACACGTGGCTGAGGCAGTTGACAGATCGGATTTTGAGTGGCTGTAGGCTACTACCTTTTGGAGTGTTTGATGTCTTTTAGTATTTCCGCATTTGATGGATCACGATATTGATCCTTTATTTTGTATATGGCCTGTATATGTTTTGTACATGTCTGTCACTTGGATGCATGTACATTTGGGTATTCAGGCACGTCATATGATGATGTATTATTCAGTTTATGATTTCGTATTGGATTGCATGTTCATTAGGATAGTGGCACGGAGCCATATTTTGCATGCGCCCATGGATGGGTATCTGATTGTATCTGCATGACTGGTACTTCTGGATTACTATGCTGTATAAACTGTTTATCAGGAAATGCTTCTGAGAGGGATTGGAAAATCCCCGGTTG